CAAAAATAAAAATATCATCGCTTTCTCAAAATCACATAAAGCCATATTATAACATCGACTGAGATAAAGAATAAAATGAAATATTAAAAACATGATGTATCTCGCTGCATTGCGCGAGTACGCTTCTAGTATATATATAAATGTTATAACAATTTTTTAAGATAAAGTTTGTCAACATAAAGTTATCTCCAACCGAAGAGTATATAACAAGTAATTTTTTTTTACGTTTTGCCTCCAACAAAATAGTATAACACAAAATATTTTGTGTTAATTGGATAGTGAATCACCACACACACATACATATATACATACATATATATATATATATATATATATATATATATATATATATATAGTGAGGTACTATTAACCAACAGGAAAAAAAATTGTGTGGTATTTTGTTTTCCTTACCCATGACCATCTCCCGTCAATGATTATTGACGGATCACCTACGGAATTAAATATCCCATGATGAAATTTTCATCTGTCGGTACTTTTACATTACCGACGGACTAATACGTTATTTATTTATTATTTTCTTCAACAAATTTCATGGGTAATTATATATGGACCATTGACGGATTTAAATTTTCTGCTACATTTTGATTGTTTGTCTACATGTAAATACGTGTTTAAATGTATGTATGTAGTACACAAGTCATTAATTTGTGATCGATCATGAATGTATACAACGGTTTAACAAGTTTTTTAAGATATTTTAAAACTAAAATGTCGTGTTAACCATTTTAAACGATACTATATGTACACAAGTGTCCTATAAAAATTGAGTTAATAAGACGCTTTACAAAAATGTCTTATAATATAGTTATACGACACTTTATTTTAAAAATGTCGTAAAAACTTGTTAAAACGTCCAAAACCGTTTATAATAAACATGTTGTAACATTTTTAGATAACACATTTTATGGTTGGTCTAATAAACTGGCTAGCACTTTATTTATTGTAAAAGATTTATACATTTTAGACGTCCTATAAATCTTAATCTTGTAGTAGTAATAATTAGAATATATGTAACAAGTTTTATCCTTACGGAACAATAAATTATTACGATAAAATTAAACAATTTCATAAAAGATAAACCATTTTATTTACATTTTTATACGGACAAAGTCTATAAAATGGTCATAAAATCTGCCGGAGAAGAAAATAAAAACGGGATGGTGTAACTACAAAGGTGGTGCCTAATTGGTTTGAACTTGGGTTCCAAAAGTCAAAAGTGTCTAGAGGTCTCAGGTTCAAATCCAAGAGGAATAAAAATCCTTTTGTAGCCACAAAGGTTCAAATACTATGACTACGAGCTACTCGCAAAATATGTTGTCGATTGGTCGGCTCGCATAGCGAATTGGATACCAGGTTAATCGAAGTTGCAATTCGATTTTGATGTTGTGTTTGTTTTTGAAATTCAACCAAAGAAACACCTTTTCTAATCTTGAAATCAAACTCCCACCAAATTCCACCATCAAAGAACCTTCCTTACCAAACTAACCTAACACATAATCTCACCTATAATTACACCACTCCCCTTTCTTCCTTCTTTTCCTCATAAACCACACCAATATCATCATCATCATCATCATCATCATCATCTAGGGTTCATATACATTCATAGATTCTGTTTAAATTTATATTCATCTTCTCCAAAAACGAAGAAAAAAATCGAAGAATCTGAGATGGGGTTCGGATTAAAGAACATCTTTTTACTGTTTACAATAATGGCAGCCATGTTTTCATCTTCTTCATCTGCTCAATCTTGTTCTAACTACGCCTTTAAAACCAACAACAAAGTGTTCAGTGCCTGCAATGATCTTCCAGTTTTGAATTCTTTTCTTCATTACACATATAACCCATCTTCCAAAACCCTAAAAATCGCTTATCGGCGCACAAATATCGATCCTTCAAAGTGGGTTGCATGGGCGATCAACCCAACTTCTAAAGGTATGGTTGGTTCACAAGCACTGGTTGCTTTCCGGCAATCGAACGGGAAGATGAGGGTGTATACTTCACCGGTTACAGGTTACAGTACGCAGTTGCCGGAAGGAGATCTAAGTTTTCCGGTGAGTGAGTTATCGGCGGCGTATTCAGATAAAGAGATGATTATATTTGCGACTTTGGGTCTGCAAAATGTGAGCATAATTAACCTGAATCAAGTTTGGCAAGATGGTGGAGTTTCTGGAAATGCTCCAATGGCGCATGTGACATCCGGTGATAATGTTAAGTCTATGGGAACCCTAAATGTTCTTTCTGGACGATCTGGAAGTGCAGGAGGAAGTAGTTCCAAAACCAAGAAAAGAAATGTAAGTTCTAAAACTATGTTTTTGAGTATTTTCGTACATTTGGTTCGTTGAAAATTGCTATTTTCGATGTTTTTGTACTGCTTTCAAAGTTACTATTCATCGCATTTGAACCTTGATGACCACGGAGACTGAAGCTCCAATCAGCTGATCCTGCTTGGTTTTTTGTCTAGTGATTTATATATATATATATATATATAGAGAGAGAGAGAGAGAGAGAGAGAGAGAGAGAGAGAATGAGATAGATGGTATGTGTTCTTAACTTGATTTGGGGGTCATGCAGATTCATGGTATCCTAAATGCAATCAGCTGGGGGATCATGATGCCTCTAGGTGCTATAATGGCAAGATACATAAGAGTATTCCAATCAGCTGATCCTGCTTGGTTTTACCTTCATGTAACTTGTCAAACCCTTGCATATATCATCGGAGTCGCAGGTTGGGCCACCGGAATCCGGCTAGGCACCCAGTCTCCAGGCATTCAGTTCACTTCCCACAGACTCATCGGCATCATCCTCTTCTGTGTCGCCACCCTCCAGGTACCCATAGTCCCATACCCCTTTTAGATTCTAATTACAACCAATACCATAAAATCGACTTTGCAAGGCACAAAAATGTCTAAATACTAATACGATACGATCTGAGATTAGTCGACTCACATAGCAGGTTGGATATGTAGGTTAATAAAATGATGTTATATACAAGATTTTGGGGATTAATTAATTATTGGATTTTGCAGGTGATCGCTTTGCTGGTGAGGCCAAAGAAGGATCACAAATTCAGAATTTACTGGAACATCTACCACCATTCACTTGGGTATGGCATCATCATTCTAGGAATCATCAATATATTCAAAGGATTTGATATTTTAAACCCAGAAAAGAAATGGAAGAGAGGTTATACCGGAATCATCATAGTGGTGGCTGCCATTGCAGCAGTTTTGGAAGCTTACACATGGGTTGTGGTTTTAAGGAGGAACAAGGCTGCAAACAAGGAGAAGATGATCATGAGGAATGGTAGCAATGGAAATCATAATCGATATGGTGGAGTTACTAATGGAAATTGAGTTTATAGGACGCCAATAAAGTTCAAATGTTTTAATAGAATGTTTTACGGGACTTAAGTTTATAGCACCAAAAACAATAAGACGTCATATCTGAAAGTGTTACAATATGTTTATATTGTATTACTTTAGATATGACGTTTTATATTTGTTTATAAAACTTAAGTCTTATAAAACATTCTATTAGGATACTTAGAAACTTTATCGCTTCCTTATGATTTTGATATTGTTTTTTATTTATTTATGTACTTATATGGGTTTTTTTTCCATTCTTATGGTAGTTTAATTGGTTGAGTGGTATTTTATCGATACTAGGTTCATATTAGGATTGTATGTATGTAATAATCTTTACGTTCTTACGTATATTCCAATTTCTTATACATATTCATGGTGTCGAATATAAGATGCATTGAGTTTTGGTAGCGATGATAGAACTTGCGTGTTATATATCGAGTTTTACGAGGTCAACAAAGAAGTCTTTTTCGTATTGATTGACGTAATGTCTCGTCTCAACAAACACATATTCAACACTACACTAAACGCAAGCTTTTTTTAGCTTTATAAATATAAAAAGAAACACACAACAAATTAATGGAATGAAAATGCAACAACTTGATATCAATTTGACAAACGGTCACTTGTTTTATCGACCACAATCATCTAAAAAGACAAGTTTTTGTAAGTTAGATGGTTCATAGCAGCATTTATCTTCTTTTTCTTTATTATTGTTATCCTTCTTCATTTTTTCCTCACAAGTCGCGTTTCAAAAAACTCTGATCTAGTCAAAGTAGTTCAAATACAAATCTGAATAAGGTAAAGACCGAATCTGGATCGGCAATAAATTTGTCTGCTTAAAAAGAGTCTATTTTTTGTCTGGTATCAAACCAAAAAAGAAAATTAGTTTTGGGTCTTTGGCATGGTGTGTATAAAAAGGGGAAAAAGAAAATAAAGGATCTAAAAAAATTCGGACCAACCTTTATGACGTGTTGCTTATGACTCAGAGGGATTCCTCGGGTTCGAATACAGATCACTGCCATAACCCTTGTGGCCCTAAAAGTTTACTTAAAATTGACTCCAAACGATTTGTAACCGCTCAGGGGATTAGTTGGTACACATAAGCTGACGTGGATAACCATAGTTATGAAAGAAATTGACTTGTTTAATACACTAATATTCCCCGTATGCATGTTAGAAATTTATTGTCGCCGTTTACATAAAATATTGAGAAATCAAGAAATATCGTCTCTAAAACATGCGACTTATAAAACATGTTTATGAAAAACGCTTTCGAGATATTTAAAGATCAAATCGACACAAAAGGCAAAACCTTTTTCCTTCTTGTAATTTTATCATCGAGAAACTCTCGTGATCAATATAATATCTTAAATGAATGCGTTTACAATAGTTTATTTTATCATCTATTTATGTGTTTTTAAAGTGCTTATCCACTTATGTGGTGTCAAATCGGAGTTTTGTAAGACGTGTTTAGATTAGTTTATGGCAGTGTCAAAACATAATAAGCTTATAAGTTGTTTTTTAGTGTTTAATTTTTTTTGCTCATACAGATAAAATTGCCAAAAAGGACATTTCTCATATCCCTTAACTTCCATATGGATGATGAACGTTTGGATTTTAGGAAGATGGGTGATCGGCATTCATCTCTTTTATGGGTATTCATCGTTAACATCAACTAAAGCTTCCTTCCGTAACCCTAATTGCAAAGCCCCCAAACCCCAATTGACAAACTTCATAAACCCTACCTCACTCACATCACCACAATTTTCGTCTCATGTTTCACCGTCAAAACCGCAATCACGACTCAAATTTCTTCACCTCCACCTCTTGCCACCGTGGAAACCGCTGATTCTAACTCCAAATAACAACAAGAAGAACAAGCCCTAGAAGAGCATTTTTATGCTCACATCTTGAAGACATCAAAACTCTAATTGAAAATCAAAACCGGAAAGCAGTTGGTATACTCACTCAGTTGATTGTCTCGAACCAGAAGATGATTATCTTTTGGTCGAAGGTTGCTCATGAAGAAGGAGGCGTACGTGATTTGATAAGAAATATTAGCTTTAGGGTTAAGAAAGTAATTTGGTTTTCAAACCTGATAAGTTATAAATGAGTAACTTATCAGAAACTCCTTATTACAGGTTTGACACCAGTATAAACATTCTTTTTTTCCGATCTAAACAACTAAAAACTGTCACATGAGAATAAGTCAATAAACAGTTTAAATGAACAATCACAAACACCCCTTAGTGGTGAAGATACAATGGTGAACAACACCTATGAAAGATGACACTCACTAGTTTTCGTTATAAAGTTCTTTTTTTTAGTTTTCAGAAGAAAAAAAATTATAATAAAATATTTGTGACAAATCACATGTTTATTTACCATCATAATCAAGTGTGCATGTTAAATTATCTTATTTTTGGAAGAGTGTTCCAAACTATGTTCAGATTAATCTCCACAAATCGCATCACAAGGTATCAATCCAGATGAATTTAATGACTAAAATTGTTATAGACGTCTAGAATCAAATAAAAATAGATGAGATATTCCGCCACATCCCCTAATAAGAGCGTTTAAATTTCCAACCCGAAAAAAGAAAAAAAAAACTAAACCCAACATATAACCTAGTCATGGCCAAACCGGCCTGGCCCGGCCCGGGACCGGACAAGGACCAGCCCGCCCCGAGACCGGTAAAGACCGGTTATAGGACTGAAAACCGGGACCAGTTCATGATTTGGAGGGTTTCGCGGGACCAGACTGGTTATGGGACTGATTATGGCCGGGCGGCGGCCTATTTGTTTTAAAAAATAGTTGTTTCTATAGCCTTTAGGTAGCCACTTTTTTTGGATTTTTTGCCTTCTAAACACTATAAATAAGTGTCTTGGTTGAGGGGTTTACATACCAAGTACTCGATTCGCAAAAAACGCAAAAAAAAAAAGTTCACAATTCTTGGTTTTTATAATGTATTTTTGTAAGACAATGTAATTCTAAAAAAACGTATTTTTAAAGTGTATTTGAGTGATCCAATTATTACAAATTTTATAATGTATTAAAAATATATATCATTAAATTTTTTTTTAATGACCAAGCCCAACAGTCTGTAACCGGTTACAATAAAACTTAATCAGACTCACTCTTTTCGACCGGGACCGGTTAAGGCCGGATTTATTTAGACCCGGGGCGATAAGGACCAGACCAGCCCGGCCCGGGACCGATTTTTGGCCGTCACTATATAACCTAGAGATGGCCAAATCGGCCCGGCCCAGCCCGGGACCGTCGAAGGACCAGGATCGGTAAGGACCGATTATGGGACCGAAAACCGGGACCGGTTGAGGTTTTTGGTAGTTTCGTGGGACCGGGACCGGTTATGGGATCGACAATGGACCGGCCCGGCCCGGCCCGAAAATTAAAATAATTTTATAAATAAATGTATTTTTAAATAATTTTATAATGTATTTTTATAAGAAAACGTAATTTTAATTATATTAAAACACATTTTTAAAGTGTATTTGAGTGAACCAATTGTAAATTTCATAATGTATTAAAAATATATATCATTAAAAAAATAATAAAAAAATATTATTTTTTAATGCAAGGACCGGTTGGACCGGGACCGGCGGCCCATAACCAGTTATGAATACCTTGATCGGTCCTATCATTTTCGACCAAGACCGGTTATGGCTGGTTATGAGAAAAATTAGGACCGATTGAGACCGGCCCGGCCAGGACCGGTTTTTGGCATCTCTAATATAACCCATACAAAAATTTGAATTGGAATTGGATCAGCCTAAAGAATCCGGCCCAATCCGACCAAAATATACGCCTTTTACTTATTTATTTTTAATGGTTGTAGACGTTTAGCGCCTCTTTTTCTCTCGACTCTCAAGTCTTGCCCTAGCTTAGAATTGAAGGACGCACGGCTTCAGGCTTCTTGCACATCGATTGAATCAAGAGGTAGACTTCTTCTACTCTTCTCTTCTCTTCTTCGATTTCTAGTGCAGAAGTTTACACATTTGCTGATGAACGGTGATAGGGTTCAGTCTTTTTCTTGTGGGTCGTCCTAACAAAGTTTGAGGATCATATCTTTGATTAAATTAATGGAAAAAAATTACATACAAAGACGGTTTGCAGTAATGGGGTATGAAATAAGCTTTCTTATGAGAGGAGGATTTGGTGAAATTTATATCAAAAACTCGATAGATGCTTTTGTTTGTGTTATTTATGCTAAAACTGCTACCTTGGTCTGCTTATTGTTTATTTTAACAAATCTCAATGGATGTTTTTGTTGTATTTCATTGGTTTAAGCTCTTTCAGCATGTATGCTTAAGTGCTGTGTTTACCAGCTAATTTGGACGTTGTTTGGAGGGTTTTGCAAACTACTTTGGACTTGTATTATTTTTGATGAATTACTTGAAGATTAGTGCACGTATAAATTACATGTATTTATGGTTTGAAAGTGCACTATAAGTAGAGTTGTTCAAGGCCTTCAGTGATTTCTCATTGTGTACAATGTTCAATCGCGACTCTTAACTGGCGACATTGAGAACCTGTTTTATCCATTCAAACTTGCCTAATTGAGATGGCTTTGATATTGTATTTGTTAGGTTTTGAGCCGAGGCAGGGGATTAGGGTGATGGCTGAAGAAGTTCAAATGCAAGAAGTTGAGAAAGGTCCAAGGAAGAGAAAAATAGGACACAAAAAGGGTAAGGGGAAGAAGAAAATGAAAGTGAACCAGGGAAGTGGACAGAAGGTTAAAATGGATGGAAAAATGAAAAAACTTTTCCGAAAAAAGGCTAGAGATTATAATTCGGATGATAGTGATGATGCTAATGATGTCAATGAAGAGGAGCCTTCCCCTCCAATGAAGTTTGAAGAAAAGCAGTCGCATGATGAAAATGAGGAGGCTGATGAAAAATCTGCAGAGGAAGAAGCAGACGTGGAAGAAGATATGGGCAATGACGATATTTCTGATGATGAAGAGGGGATAATCGAACATGGGATTATGAAATTTTCTGAAGGATCCACATCTTTCAAAAAAGCCTTTAAGAAAATAATAAAGAGGAGTGGATCAGATGATGTCCTGGTAAGCCTCTTGATATATTGTTCAATGTGTTTAAATTATAAAAATCCTTATATCTAAGTATATTATGTTTGAAGTATATAATATCTATAGCGCTAGGCGAAAGGCTCTTTGGTTTATATCTAAGTGTATTGATAATGGTACATATGTAACTTGAAGGGATTTTAGTTTGTTCATTAATATCTGATCAGAAGTTAGCAAATATGGAACTTTCAAGCTTAATTTTCTAGCAGACCCTGTATGGTTGAGATAGAGAGAATCCTTGACCATGCTTTTAGTTCATTTATGCGTTTTGTTATTGCTGTAGGGTCCTGTATTATCTGCTTACAAGAAGCTTGTGGTAAAAAAGCTTGCCGAAGAAGCTGATGAAAGAAAAGTCAAAGGGGATGCAAAAAAGGAAAAAACCTTGGTAAATCATATGGAATTGGGTATAATTTATATTTCCATGAATATGAACATGTAGTCCCTTGTGCTGACCATCTGCTGTGATTTTTTTGGATATAAAGTTAGGAGAGAAAGGACATGTCAAGCCTGATTCTTTCTCAGTCTCGCACGAAAAACTACTCATTGGAGTTGCTACAAAGGGAGGTATGCTATTTTGTTTCATGTTGAACAATAGAAACTTTTGCATTATTGGCACTTGCTAACTAACTTGTCACAAAATTTTCATGTGGTGGCGGAACTTTCAGTCGTCAAGTTATTTAATGCTGTGAGTTTTTTTATTCTTAATGTGATAGTTAATTTCTCTGTTTCTGTCACAGGTTTGAGCTACATTTTCTTGAATTTCTGCTTATATTTATTATTTTTACAGGTTAACAAGGCCCAAAGTTCGCAGAAAGGTTTAAATCCATCAAGGTTGAAAGATGCTAAAGGTGTGTGCAATAAAATGCTTCGCTTTTCTCCTTTTTTAACTTCTTTTAACATGAAATGAAGTATATAGTTGTGTTTATTTTGCTCAGTCTAACTTTTTGTTCATTTAGGGGTTGCTTGGTAATGGCTTAGTGGGTTGTATGGCTTATTCACTAAGCCACATACAAGATTGTTCTGTTGTGGCTTAATGAAACGAGTAGTAGCTTATTCGCTCAGATAATTAAAGGGTGTGGTCTGTGTTCAGCCATCATTTTTCCTTTGATACCCTTGACCCTTGTGAACAGATTTATTTCTTCCCTAAAGAATATGCTTCTTGCTCCTTTCCATCTCTCAATCTCTCTATCCCTCACCCTCCATCTCTCGATTTGAAGCTGCTGGTGACGAGTTTTCTCTGCTCATGCTGCTGAAACGAGTTCTCTCTCCATCTCTCAAATCTTGAACTGGGTTTGGTTAAACATTTGTTTTGAAGTCTTTGGTGATTCCTTTTGTTACAGTTATTGAGTTTCAAGTCTTTTGGTGATTCCTTTGGCTATGGTTCTTGATGTTTGATTTCTCTTTTTTCCATCTTCGAAGACATTCTTCTATACCCATAACTGTTTTGTCTTCTTTCTAAAGCATAGTGAAAGGAACTCATGAATATTTGGTATATCTGTTAAGTCAGTAGCTGCCCAAATGTTCTCTTCTTTAGCTTTTCTTTCTTCTGTCACACCAGTTCTTTAAGTGGTCAATTTTGTGTATTTTAGCACTATGTTTGAAACTAACAATAATTCCTTTTGCTATGGCTCTTTGTAACCATATATGATTTCTAAAGATGGTTGATTGTTGTTCTTTGACTTTCAGTGATTCAGAAGCGGAGGAAAGAAGCCTTCTTTTCAGAGTTGGGCAAAACCCCATCTGGGTCGAATGCTATGGTGCTGTCTTCTCTCTTTTTGTGTTACTTTTAGAACCAAATATTTCTTGCAGAATCATGCTTTCTAAAACCTTTTCAAGCCTGGGGGGGGGGGGGTCTTTTTGGAAACAACCTTTTTACCTCCCCATACCCTACCTTGTGTGGGACCTGAATCATCTGAATTTTTCAAGACTTGATATTATTAGAAATGCTCAATTAAACCAAACCAACAAGCCTGTATATCTCATCCAGAGGTGGGTCTGGGGATAGACTTCACCTCTACCCTATAGAGTAAGAGTAGAGTGGCTACATTGTTGATCAAATTCATTATTATGGGGCAATTGCATTTGGAGGCAAAATGATACAAAATGAACAGATTGGGGGAAAAATGGGTAATCGGCTATAAAAAAATAATCGATGGAACAGAAACTACAAGTAATTGGAATGAAGAAGAAAACTTACTATCCAGAAGGATCCCAGGGAGAGAGTCCCTTCTCTAAACGTAGAGCCAAAGTAAGGGTTGTTATCTGCATGCCCCTCATGGAGGAAGGCAAAAGCTTATTTAAACTATCATACGTAACAAACTCTTAGTGGGCCTTGGGCCTCCTGGAATATACTTTCCACACATTGGGCTTAAGTCCACTAGTTGGGTCAAGACTAGGATCATTCTCATTCGTAACATTGGTCACCCCATCAAGAATGGTCTTGTCCTCAAGACCAATATCCGGAAATTGTTGTTGAATGACCAAAACATCTTCCCAAGTTGCTTCTTCACTCGGACGGTGCTGCCACTTGATGAGCCATTGCGGAACGGTTTCCCCGTCCCGAACGATGGAGCGAGCACCCTGAATGGACTCCGGAAAACACTGATCAGTGATATGCACTTCAAGGTCAGCCGGTAATGAATCGACCTCGGTGACTCCAGGTACCGCCTTCTTCAATAACGAGACATGGAAAACCGGATGCACCTTGGATAAAGCTGGGAGGTGCAGCCGATAGGCCACGGGACCGATACGCTCCACAATTTCAAACGGTCCAAAAAACCTCGCTGACAGTTTTTGATTGATGCGACTTGCTATCGACAATTGTTGATACGGCCGAAGCTTCGCATAAACCAAGTCACCAACCTGAAATTCAACCTCCCGACGATGCTTATCGGCCTGCGATTTCATTTGTGATTGAGCTCGTAATAACTGTGCCCGAAGTTGTTTCAAGGCCTCATCACGGTCCTTCAGCTCTAGGCGGACCGTCTCGACCCGCACCTCACCCGGAATAAACTGACATATATTAGGAGGTTTGCGACCGTAAACAATCTCGAAGGGTGAAACCCCTGTAGAGCCATGAAAAGTAGAATTGTACCAGAATTCCGCCCACGGTATCCACAAGGACCACAAACGTGGTTGGTCAACCGCAAAACAACGTAAATACGACTCAAGACAGCGGTTAATGACCTCGGTTTGCCCATCTGACGCCGGATGATACGATGAACTCATGTGTAAACGAGTACCTTGCAAACGGAATAGTTCCCGCCAAAAATGACTCATAAAGAGTGGATCGCGATCACTGACAATTGATTTCGGAATACCATGTARGCGAACTACTTYCTTGACGAAGACATCCGCRATATGGCGCGCGGTATAGGGGTGTTTCAACGGCACAAAATGGCTGTACTTGGAGAGCCTGTCCACCACCACTAATAACGCATCAAAACCCTTCGATTTCGGTAGTCCAAGAATAAAATCCATGGACAAATGTTCCCAAATCGTTTCCGGAATATCKAGCGGTTGTAAMAGACCCGCTGGAGTAAGGGAGCTAGATTTGCAGCGTTGACAAATATCACAAGCTTGGACAAAACGCTGAACCGCCGAGCTCATACCGGGCCAATATAAATTGGCAGCCAAACGACGATAAGTTCGATAGTACCCGGAGTGACCGCCCGTAGCTGATTTGTGAAATTCAGCTAGTAATTCTGGAATCCATTTGGAATGCCGAGGGATAACCAAACGACCCTTATAGTAGAGAATTCCTGAACGCACTTCGTAACCTGGATGCGTTCCCTGCTGCTGTTGGCATGATTGTATCACCTGTTGGAGGTCCGGATCGGATTTGGCTTCCTCCAACAGTTGTGCTCCTTGAACCCAAACGGGTTGGTACGCTATCGAAGTGAGCAATTCGCCATAATCGTCTCTCCTGGACAGTGCATCGGCTGCCCGATTTTCYCGTCCCGCCTTAAAACAGATTTCAAAATGATACCCAAGCAATTTSGCAACCCAATTTTGCTGATCCGGAGTGGTAATACGTTGCTGTAAGAGATGCTTCAGACTTTTATGGTCGGTGTAGACCGTAAAAGTAGTGCCCAAAAGATAGCTCCGCCAATGTTGAACCGCTAATGCTAAGGCCATGATTTCTCGTTCGTACGCGGACTTTGACAGATTACGATCTGTTAAAGCCTTACTAAAAAATGCAATCGGACGACGGTTTTGCATCAGGACAGCCCCAATTCCACGTCCCGAAGCATCACATTCCACCACAAAAGGAGCCGAAAAGTCGGGCAACGCGAGGACAGGGGCTGTAGTAACTGCGTGTTTCAGGCTGTCAAATGACTTTTGGGTCTCCGCATTCCAATGAAAATTGTCCCGCTTTGTCAACTCCGTAAGCGGTTTGGCAATAGCTCCATAATTTCGAACGAATTTCCGATAGTAACCTGTTAATCCCAAAAACCCGCGTACGCCTTTCACTTGTTTGGGAACCGGCCAATCTTTCACCGCTTGAACTTTATTAGGATCCATTGATACGCCCTCGCCATCAATGATGTGTCCCAAATATTCAACCGAGCGTTGCCCAAATGAGCATTTCTTTCGGTTAACCACGAAGCGATGGGAAACCAACGTAGCCAACGTCGAAGCCAAATCTAATAGATGTTGTTCCCATGTCGGACTATACACTAAGATATCGTCGAAGAACACCACGATACACTTACGTAAGTGTGGTCGAAAAACGTCRTTCATAATGGCTTGAAAGGTCGCCGGGGCGTTAGTGAGACCGAAAGGCATTACGAGATACTCGTAATGGCCATCATGCGTCCGAAACGCTGTTTTCTCCACACTTTCCGGCCGCATACGGATCTGGTTGTAACCGGACTTGAGGTCCAATTTGGAGAAATACTTGGTACCCTGAAGTTCATCAATCAACTCTTCTACTACTGGAATTGGGTGTTTATCCGGAATTGTGGCTTTGTTCAATGCTCTATAATCGACACACATACGCCAAGTTTGGTCCTTCTTCCGTACCAAAATTACCGGACTAGAAAAAGAGCTGTTGCTGGGTCGTATAACCCCCAAAGGGCAAAGTCAGCATCTCCTGAACTTGGCGCTCAATTTCAGCCTTGTGAGCGTGAGGATATCGATACGGCCTAACACAAACCGGCCCGTGGTTGGGAACGAGATTGATAGCATGATCTCGAGACCGAACCGGAGGTAACCCCGACAGTTCTTCAAACACTGGAGCAAACCTGTCAAAGATTTTCAACAGCTCCTGCGATTGTAATGRTGTTAAAGTCGGCTCCAATACTCCCATTTGCTCTCCATCAGTTAATCGTAACGAGGGATTAGAGTCCGATAACCAGCTTTGTAGTGAAGCCCGTGCTCGCACCGGAAGCGATGTCCCCGATAAGCAGACCTCCTTACCCCTATACATAAACCGCATTGTGTGAGCCTCCCAATTATGGATGACATCACCCAAGGTTTGTAGCCACTCGATTCCTAACACCATATCCAGTTCACCCATTTCGAACAACAAGGCATCAATCTCGAACTCGCAATTCCCAAAAACGATTGGAAGACCCTCGCACCGTTGAGTCACCAAGACCTTGTGTTCGTCTCCAAGCTTAATACGCAGCCCCGCAAACGTATGCACCACCAAATCCAATGCCTCAGTCAATTTCCGGGATATAAAATTGTGGGTCGCGCCACTGTCGACTAACACGACAATTGGGATACCACCCAAAAWTCCCTCGAGCTTAACAGTYTGTAATTTGGGTTTCAAAACAACACTTGCACCCATGAACTCCATAATTGAACATTCTCCCGTTTCTAATTCACCTTCGTTAACGACCTCCTCTGGAAGATTAATCTGATTATGTTCTCCATTCTGCTCGTCTTCCTCATTATCCGCTAACAACAACACCCGGAGATTTGCTTCCGGACATTTGTGGTTAGGACCAAACTGTTGCCCGCATTTGAAACACAACCCCTTCCGATGTCGATCCTCCCATTCTGTTCGTGACAACGTCCTGATCCCACGATTCCGAATACCGGATGTTTGAGCAGTCTCCGTGCGATGGGAATTGACCACCGATGCCATTGATGACGCTTTAGTCACCGAATTTCCTTTATTGAACATACGTCGTTCAAAAATAGGATTACCAGACTGGGCCTTCGATATGTTTGAGCCCATTGGGCCTATTGACGAGCCAACAATTGTAGAATCAGAATTCGGCCGCTGAGTCTGATATCGAAACCTCGCATTAAGCCGAGTACAATCTGAAGGATTCAGCATCTGTTCCACGTCATTTGCTATGTACATAGCATCGAGACGGGTTTGAGGACGCTGAAGCCTCACCCATTGTTTAATTTCAGGACGCAATCCCGCTAGGAAGTAGCCCAATGCTTGAGATTCAGGGAGTCGAGGAACTAATGATAGCAAATATTCAAAATCGTCAATGAAATCGTGTACAGAATCAACCTGCTTAATGGTAGCCAACTGCTCATACGGATTCTGTATGTCGAGACCCCCAAATCGTTGCAACAATTCGCGCGTAAATTGTTCCCAACTCAGATTATCATGTATGTTCTTCACCACTGTGAACCAATGTTGAGCTACTCCGGTCATACTCAGTTGGGCCAGCCGGATACGCAAGTCGGGTGCGGTGCCATGGATTTCGAAATATAATTCAGCCTTCGATATCCATCCTCGAGGATCGTATCCCCCAAATTCTGGAAGTTTCACCTTCTTAGCCACACAGTAGGGAACTGAATTAGAACGATCGGATTCGAGATTGACATTGAAGGAAGGAGTACGAGGAGGAGGAGGTACTCCCGATCCAGATGTATCCCCCATTTCTGGGTTCTTACCTTGTTGGCTTTTCACCCACGCCATCACGTACGCTCGAAATTCCTTATCCTCATCCTGATCTATCTCCATCGCCTTCAACGA